AGGCCACCCCGAGTGGGGAAAGCCAGATCCCCATCAGCGCCATGGCCCCCCAGTCCCAGCTAAGATTGTGTGCCTCCCCCCATCTCTGCTGGGCCTGGGCAGCCATGACTCTGATGGGGATCCAACTTTCCCCGCTTGGGGTGGCCTTTTGCCTGCTGGCCCTGGGTGTACTCTGCCATCTCTACTTGGGGCTTCCTAGCCGACTGCTTTGCCTCCTTCGTGCTGGGCGGGCCTGCAGCCTAATGGACCTGCGTTGGCGGCTGCGGCAGGTACCGAGGTGTGCGAGGGGAATGCGTTCCAACCACAGGCCAAGGGCAAGACCCTCGAGGGGGCTGAGATGACCAGTGGCGACCTGCTCTCCAACCAAAAAGAGAAGGGACAGAATAGGCATGTCCGGTGGCTTGCATCATGTGCCCCCGACTCCATGTGCTGCCGGTGCCGCCACAGCGCTGCTGCTGGAGGGCCGGCCCAGTATTCACAGCAGGCTATGCAGTCCCTGCTGCCGGATGCCGTCGGCCCCCATGTGCTCACTGCCTCCTGTGCGCGCGTCTTGGGGTCTGCTGGGCTAGCTGGGGCTGGAGCCAGGGTGGCGGGGGCCAGTCCCTCACCGTCTCCAGGGCATCCCTGGGGACCAAATATTGGCCAATTGGGGGCCGGATTTGGTCCGCGGGTCTGACATGTCTGCCCTAAATGGCATGGGATCTGGTTATCTGTGGGACTCCCTAAGAATATCCACCCATCCCACAAGATCAAAGAGGGTGAGCATGCTCCAAGTCCCCTTCTTAAAATTTTGCTGTCTAGCAGGACTTTGGAAGCATGTTTTTTCCGTGGCTGCCCTACCTTGTGGAACATTGTCCTGCTGGCAATTTGCCAGGTCTCCACCCTTCAAGCCATTTGGAAGGCTAAGACTTGGCTTTTGACTTAAGTGCTGGGATTACATTGCTAGTAGGCATGAAAGGAGGGTACTTGAACTTGCTGTGAGGCATCCCAGTGGGCATGACTATGGCACGGGGTATTATTTTATTGTTTTCTGTTTATGGTTATTTACTAGTTTTATGGTTGTTGCAAGTTGCTTAAGATGGATGGCCATATAAATCTTTTAAATAAATAAATAAATAAAATCTACTATGTATAAACAGGGAGCAAATGCAACATTCGCTAGCACTGATGATGTTACCTAGTCAGATAATAAAACATCTGCAAGCAAACAAGCAAGCATCAAAGATTCCATATATCATACCATCATCTACCCCAGTGATGGCGAACCTTTTAGAGACTGAGTGCCCAAACTGCAACCCAAAACCCACTTATGCATCGTCGAGTGCCGGGTGGGCGTGGCCCATTAGGTGGACGTGGCTGCGATGGTAACAGGAGACTGGATGGGACTAAAAAGTTCAATCAATCAATTCCAACTTTGCAAGATCTTTTTTTCCCCGCGAGAAGTTGAAATTGACTGATTGATTGAACCTTTTTTTGTGCACATGGCGGCGGAGGCCTAAAGCGAAAAGGTTTTATAAAACCCAGCTGAAGGCCTAGGACTGGGGCGACGACGCGCGTGCCCACAGAGAGGCCTCTGAGTGCCGCCTCTGATACCCGTGCCATAGGTTCGCCACCACTGACCTACCCGATAAAATCAACAAATGTTAAGACATAAAGCACATTCAAAATCCTGACAAAATACAGTCAAAATAAAACATACCAATATGAAGAACAATTGCTAAGAGATCATACAGGGGAACCACCATTTTTACCGCTGTATTTGTCAAAAGCCAAATTTAATAGAAGCCCTTAACTAATTTCTTAAATGACAGGAGAAGGTCATGCTAACCTCAAGGAAAAAGAGAAACCGATAGGATCGTACAACCACGTGAAAGGCTCATCTTTACACTCTTGTTCCCCAAACTCAAGCTTAAATTGAGACTGTACCCAAAGCAAATGCAGCCAGGCAATAATGCTTCCCATTCCACTTCCATCTTGCACTTATCCACTCACAACTTTACTCCCAAACATCTATGCCAGCAGTATTCCAACTGCCTGTAATAACTGAGCCACACCCTGTTGTTTTCAAGGATGTCCTAACGTCCAGAGGCAGCCATATCCCACCCAGGCTCTTGGCTTACAAAAGAAAAGGCTACAACAAAGGGAAGCGGCGTAAGCGGATAAGAACAAATCTATCTAATCGGTAAAACCCAAAATTAAAGTTTCATTTTTTTTCCATCTCAAGTCCAGAAGCAGTTTCCAAGTAGAAACAAAAGTACTTATGTTTTTTTTTCTTTTATCAAAGCAGTCAATTTAGCCATCTCTGCTATCTCCATCAACTTTTGCAGCCATTCGTCCACTGTGGGGATAGAAGTATCCTTCCATTTTTGTGCATAAAGTAGACTTGCTGCCATCAACATAAATAACATCAAAGTTCCAAATTTTTTCCCCAAGTCTTTTTCCATTAAAGGTTTCTGGTTTTTATCTTAATATCCACTTTAAGAATTTTCTATATTAGAATATGAATCTTACTCCAATATTTCTTTGCTACACACATATTCACCACAAATGATAAAAAGTCCCTTCTTTACATTTACATTTCCAACATTCGTTTGAAATACCTTTATACATTCTTGATAACTTCTCTGGTATTAAATACCAACGGTACATCATCTTATAGAAATTTTCTTTTAAATTATAATTTAGTGTAAATTTTAAACCTTTCATCCACATATTCTCCTATTGTTTAAGCATTACATTATATCCAAAGTTCCTTGCCCACTGAATCTTACAATGCTTTACATATTCACTTTCCAAATTCAAATTCAATAATGTTTTATAGACCTTAGTAATAATATGTTCATCACTACCATACAGTAAAATTTCCAATTCATTTTTAACAAAGTTAAACCCATAACTCTTTTTGTCTAATTTAAATCTTTCTTTCAGTAGTAAATATGTAAACCAGTGACAGACATGGCCTTCTGATTCTAGCTCTTCCTTAGACTTGAGGGTAGGATCATCAAAATTAAAAGATATTATTTTACCATAAATCCACCGGTACGGCTTCATCACCATTCCTTTTCTAAAAAAGTCTTCCTGGGGAAGGACACCCAAAGAGACATCTTCGCAAAAAAGCTTGTGTTATATTTATTCCAAACTCTTAGAATGGCACTTCTAAGAAAATGGCTGTTGAAATCAACATTTACTTTAACCTTGTCATACCATAAATAACCGTGCCATCCAAATCTTAATTCACGACCTTCTAGTTTACAGTATTATGTAAAAGTAAAAAGCTGAGGTTTGATGTTATTATCTTATTCTACTGCACCAAAGGGAGTCAGAAGTCAATGACTTCCCCCCTCCTTTTTTATACTCTTCCTTTCCCTTTTTCCTCCCCTATTTTTCATACTATTTGCTTTTGTATGTTTGTATTCTATATTATAAACTAATAAAAAATGAAAATGGCCAAAAAAAAAAAAAAAAGGAAAAGGAAAACAGAATAGGGAAGCGGAAACTGATAGGGAAGTGGAAGCAGACAGGGAAGCTGGAGATTGGAGCTATTCCAGGCAGACAAGAGGATTATCAGTCAATTGCCAGGACCACAAGCTAAGGTGAGCCACCTATCGTGGCAGGATTCCTGCCTGGATCCTGGAGCTTTCCTGGGAGTTGACAGCAACCAGAAAAACAGCAACCATACTGAAGCAGCACTTCATCCCCATTAATGTAAGAACTTTTGGAAGAAGGCAAAGGTTGTATGGCACTTTAAAGACTTTGGAACTTTTATTAAGTATTGTATTAAATACATACTTATATGGAAATATGCTAGATGGAAATATAACCTTACAAAATCTTTAAGGGGGGGAGCAATTGCCTATTGTTGGGAAAGGTGTGTGCGGCAATAAAGCACTGTGTACAGATCTGCTATGCTGTGATGTGTCCAGACCTTAGAAAATAAAGAACCCTCACCTAAGGGTAACCCTTCCACTCTTGAGTCCAAGATTTCCAGCAATCAGACATTCAGGATCAAGGGTGGGACATTATGATCACAGAGAGAGAAAAGCACATTATCCCCCTCCCTTCCTTTACAATGGCAACCTTGATAGTTCCCATCAGCATTTCCCTCTTTCTATTGCTGTAGAAGACCCCCTCCCTTATATTTTAAGTACACAATTAAAAATGCATTTAGCAGCTCAATAAGTTATTCAGATATTACCTGAATCCATATGGCTTAAACCATGACCCAAATTAATACTATGGATTCCCTCATTTGTTTAAATGATCTTCAAAATAAAATAAAATAAAAAAGTACTGTCAATGGAAAGAAAAACACCAAACTAACCGTAGTTGGCCTTTGCACCAGGTTCTCAAGCCGGGTATGGCTGAACTCTAAGCTGATAACATTGTATAGCTTCTCTCGCTCTTCCTCTGGTGTTTCATAGTAGCGTGCCCACTGAGCCATGGTCATCTCAATATCCCTTTGTGTGTTTACATCCATGACATCCACCATCCTACGACTCCCTACCGGTTGATAAGATAAATAGATAATTAATTAATTTCCGGTAATACAGTCTAGCCCAAGACAGGCAGGAAGACACATAAAACATGGTTTTTTAAAAGGGGTGGGGGGGGGGGAGATAAAGGGCGTATAAAGGACAAGATACAGAACAATTATCCAAGGCCTTCTGATTTAGAGGTGCTTAATTTAAAACAAGCATTTTTCAATTTTTTTTTTCTTTCAAGACCAGGGATTACTTCACAATTTAAAAGTTCTGCCAAAATTAAATTCTACACATAAATTACATACCAGCTTTTATCTTGACCCGCCTGTTTAATTTAGAAGAAAAATGCATAATTACCTACATAGAGTCGTACATCACTCACACTAAAGTCTGGCTCTGGCATCCTGAAACAGACAAAAATGTGTAGCAGTCACGCTATCAGTATTCCCTGTGCACAGTTTAATGCTGTGAGTCTTTTATCTATCTCTCTTACAAGTCTGCTTCAAAACTATCCATCATGAAAAACCAGAGATATAACCAAGCCCAATTTCTTACTTTTCTTTGAAGTCTCCAATACAATTTACTATTTTATTTCTCTGAATAAACTTTTTCAGTAAAGAAGCACTTGAACTGTGGATAAGTGGTTCCATTCTTGGCTGAAGCAGCTCTTGCTGCAAAGAGGTAGTGGATGAATTTTGAACACTTCTGTAATATTTATACTATCAAGCCTTGTAAAATTCCACGTTGTCTTATTTATTGATTGAGCACTGACAACATGAAACTTCTGCTTTACGACACATAGGAATGTGAAATGAGATGCTCTTCATATCAAGTGAAGTACTGAAAATTCTTTAGCATTCAGACAAGATTCATAGTTGGCTTTTTGTGTGTGTCAGGAAGTGGAATTCAACTATTCAGGACCTGAATGCACATCCTGTTAAAACGCATATGCAGTCTTTACCTAATATACACACCTCATAGACAGATTCAGCATGTATCTAATCTACCTGTTGACACTGAATTTTTACCTCTACTACTTAGCTTTGCTCTCCTAACTGTATTATAAGAAAGTGAAGTCTTTTCTTCCTTGTCTACTAGGGAAGAAAATCTCATTGTAAGGCAAGTGCATGAATATGGAAAAATTTGTAAATTGATTATGTAAGTGAGTAACTGAAAGAGAAAAAAATGGATTGAGAAAGCATTGGAAAAACCTCTCTCCATGCAACCGGTCCTTGGTGCCCAAAAGGTTGGGGACCACTGTTCTAGGCTGTTCAATAATATTACTAGGCTAGGATTAGATGTGGGATGGTTGTGATTTATAGGAACTCTTGCTAATTATCTAGATATTCCCTTTGACAGCCAATGGGTGGCCAGGATAGTATAGAGATGCTATCAGTATACTTTACATCCCACTATCTTAAAAACTTCCTATTAAGGTAGTCAAGATGAATGAGCTTTCAATTCATTTCTTAAAATTCTGGTCCTGAGGATTTCAATGAATTACTGAGGCAGCCAAGTTAGAAGCTGCTCACAATTTTGTGTCTTCCAGGATAATAAAAAAACCTTTCCAAACTGATATCTGGCCCCATGTTGAATGCTATATGCTGGATTTCGTATTCTGCTTGGGTGGAGCTAATGATCTTAAAGTGAGCAAAGTCTATTTATCTTGGTTGCCAGGGACATCACTCTCTAGTCAGTTTTACATCAGTGCCCTGAATAAAACCTTAGCAGAGCGAACTGGATAAAATGGTCCAACTCTGCCATCTGCTGGTTCCTAATAGTTTCTTCTAGCAAGATCCAGTTAATGTCTACTGTAATTTACTTTATTCCTATCCTGCCTTTATTATTTACAGTATATGAAGATGCTCAGAACAATTGCTTCTAATAGTTCAATTTCAAGAAAGCAATATGTATCCTCAAACGTTATCTAAGCTGAATGGGCTGAATAAAGGAAAAGTTGATATTCAATCCAGGCAAAATGGGAATCCTGTTGACGGATACAAAACTGCATTTGAGGAATTGAAGTTCAGTCTTGGTTTGGAAGAAGCTGCACTCCTTTTAAAAACAGATCCATAGTCTGCTGTTTGATCCTTAATAATAACAGATGTGAACTACAACTAAGAGCCATTTGACAACTACAGTTAATGCATTAGCAACAATTCTTCCTTAGCCACAATCACATATGGCAGTAGTTATTCATGCATTGCTTACATTTTCTCTTAACTACTGCAATGCACTCAATGGGGAAATTATACTTGAAAAATATGTATAAAAAGCAACAGATACACACTGTAGCACTAAATTAACTAATACCAAGTAGAGCAGACATGTCAAACTTGCGACGTCATGTGACTTGCTCCTGATAAAGTTTTTTCTTGCAAATCTCTTATAGAAATGCCAAACTTTTGAAATTTCTTTAAGCTATTTGTTTACAATTTGTTTCTCATCAGCTGACTGAATGGCAAATACAATCAAGAAAACAATGAGGTTTTAAGACTATCAATCTAAGAATGCTGGGATCCAGTGCTAAGTCCAGATCCCAGTTTGCATAACACTGATCTAGAGATAATTGGCTTCCTCCAAGTTAACACATATTTAACGCATTATTTGTGTTATCTATCACATTGTTCCAAAATTCATGACTGGATGACATCTTCAGATCCAGGGAAGGCATTTTAAGGACAAGATTGTACCTTTCAAACTGGTATATATCATTCCTCACTGAAATGAGGCAATAGTTTCTACACAGATTTACTATTTCTGATAGAACTGGCCAGTCATAATGAAGCAGGCAGCAAAAATCTGGCCTGATCCCCCAAAACATTTTATTTCTACAGTAACTAAAAGTGGACTCACAAATTATGACCAGAAACCTTAAAATCTCAATAGATCTTACACTAAATATGGGCATCTAATTTGAATACATGTAATTATCTTTAACTTCAATATTATGTGCATTAAAATAAGCTTTAGAATAGCCAGTTGAGTCTTTTCCTATGCTAGTCCCATCTGCCATTCTCAGAAACTTGGGAAAGCACAAACAAAGCATTCTGGCCCAGTAACACTATCTCATCAGGGAAAATAGTGACTTTGTTTAATATCAAATTGTTATTGTTCCACCACTCACTTTATTCCAAGACCATCGCAATTCTTGAATATCAAAGGATCTCTTAAGCCACCACGTTGAATGTACTCCGCAGTGAAGTCTGTTCAAGAAAAACAAAGGCTGGTTAGAGAAACCCCAAAAGAGAGCTGGAATGAAAAGATAAGAGGGAAAAATGAAATGATTTTGCCTACTTAATTACTTCCCTATTTTTGGGGAAAAAATTGTTATTAGCAAACTTAGGATTCTATTGGCACAGATAATGAAATATAACTTTATTGATATACGAATGAAGAGCTGGCTTATTTATTAAACATATCTGCTATGTATTATCCAGAACTGTTGTGGAAAAATAGGTAAGATATAAATATTTTTAAGTGTATAATTGAGCTGGACAAAGAGACATATGAAAATTCTTAGCCATATTATCCACTATAACAGATATATATATCCTGGGGCACCAGGGCCCTATAAGGGTCCTAAAGACTTGTGTGACCTAAAATTCTGTCAAAATTATAATTTTTTTTATTACAACAGAAGGAAAAATTATCCAAATATAATACAAATGAACCATTCATTACAGTTTCAAATAGGGCTTTTAACTACAATATGGCTCCTGCTCAAAGAGCAGGTGGCAGATGTGGCTAGGAGGGCCTTTGTATACCTTTGGTATGCCAGGAGGTCCTGCGCACAGCAACTCACACCCTTGTAACCTCTAAGTTAGACAACTGTAACATGCTCTACATGGGGCTGCCCTGAAGACCATGAAAACTTCAAGGTGCTGGTGGTTACCTTTAAATATCTAGATGGCTTGAGATTGGTGTACCGGAAAAATCTCTTTTTTCCAAGAGTCTCTATTTGTCCAATTAGAATTAACAGAATGGGCATGCTGCAGATCCCATTAGTCATAGAGTGTCAAGTAGCAGAGATCAGAAGATGAGCTTTTTCCACAGTGGCCCCTGCTCTATGGAGCAGCCTCATTTCGGAGGTTTGAATGGCTCCAACCTTACTAGGCTTTCCTAAGCCCCTAAAAACCTATGTTACCATGCTTGGGGTGCTGAATGTGTTATGGGCCCTGTTTTTCCTGACTGTATTGCTAACTGGCCAAGTATCATGCTCCTATGTACAGTGAAGGAAAAAATTATCTGATCTCCTGCTGATTTTGTACGTTTGCCCACTGACAAAGAAATGATCAGTCTATAATTTTAATGGTAGGTTTATTTTAACAGTGAGAGACAGAATAACAACAAAAAAATCCAGCAAAACGCATTTCAAAAAAGATATAAATTGCTTTGCATTTTAATGAGTGAAATATGACTTAATAATTGGTGGCAATCACAGAGATCAGATGTTTCTTGTAGTTGGCCACCAGGTTTGCACACATCTCAGAAGGGATTTTGTCCCACTCCTCTTGCAGATCCTCTCCAAGTCATTAAGGTTTCGAGGCTGACATTTGGCAGCTTGAACCTTCAGCTCCCTCCACAGATTTTCTATGGGATTAAGGTCTGGAGACTGGCTAGGCCACTCAAGGACCTTAATGTGCTTCTTCTTGAGCAACCCCTTTGTTGCCTTGCCATGTGTTTTGGGTCATTGCCATGCTGGAATACCCACGACCCATTTTCAATGCCCTGGCTGAGGGAAGGAGGTTCTCACCCAAGATTTGACAGTACATGGCCCTGTCCATCGTCCCTTTGATGTGGTGAAGTTGTTCTATCCCCTTAGCAGAAAAACACCCCCAAAGCATAATGTTTCCACCTCCATGTTTGATGGTGGGGATGGTGTTCTTGGGGTCACAGGCAGCATTCCTCCTCCTCCAAACACGGCAAGTTGAGTTGATCCCAAAGAGCTTGATTTTGGTCTCATCTGACCACAACACTTTCACCCAGTTCTCCTCTGAATCATTCACTGCCACTGTTCACTGGCAAAGTTCAGACGGGCCTGTACATGTGCTTTCTTGAGCAGGAGGACTTTGCGGGTGCTGCAGGATTTCAGTCCTTCACACTGTAGTGTGTTACCAATTGTTTTCTTTGTGATTATGGTCCCAGCTGCCTTGAGATCATTGACAAGATCCTCCTGTGTAGTTCTGGGCTGATTCTTCACCGTTCTCATGATCACTGAAACTTCACGAAGTGAGATCTTGCATAGAGCCCCAGACCGAGGGAGATTGACAATTATTTTGTGTTTCTTCCATTCCATTTCTTCCAATAATCACACCAACTGTTGTCACCTTCTCACCAAGCTGCTTGCCGATAGTCTTGTAGCCCATTCCAGCCTTGTGTACGTCTACAATCTTCTCCCTGACATCCTTGGACAGCTCTTTGGTCTTGGCCACGGTGAAGAGTTTGGAATCTGATTGATTGACTGCTTCTGTGGACAGGTGTCTTATACAGGTAAAAAGCTGAGATTAGGAGCACTCTCTTTAAGACAGTGCTCCTAATCTCAGCTCGTTACCTGTATAAAAGACACCTGGGAGCTAGTAATCTTGCTGATTGATAGGAGATCAAATAGTTATTTTACTCATAAAATGCAAATCAATTTATAACTTTTTTGAAATGCGTTTTTCTGGATTTTTTTGTTGTTATTCTGTCTCTCACTGTTAAAATAAACCTACCATTAAAATTATAGACTGATCATTTATTTGTCAGTGGGCAAACATACAAAATCAGCAGGGGATCAAATATTTTCCCCCCCTCACTGTTTACTTAATTTGGATGTTTTTAGTATTTTTATTGTTTCAAAATGTTTTTAGTATTTTAAACTGTAATACATTTTTTGAATTGTAAGCTACCCAGAATCATTGACTTAGATGGGTGGCTATAGAAATTGAATGGATGAATGAATGAATAAATAAATGAATAAACAGGAGATTCAAAGAGTAAAACAAAACTCCCATGTTTAACTTCTTACCTCCCATTTCTTCAACATAAACTGAATAAGGATTCTTTTCAATGGTTAAACAAGAACAAAACAAAAACAACCCAAACAAAAACTTTCTTATAAAATGCCCCTTTCCTTGTTCCCCCAGCAATTGCACATATTCGCTGGAAGTTGTGAAAAGATATGCTTAAAACTTCATATATGGAGAAAAGCAGATGGATGGCCATGTAAATTGAGTAAAATCAATAAAAATCGATCAATCTGGAAATCTTAATTCAAGCAAGATTAAGAAGAGAAGTATGATATTTTATCACTAGTTTATTTAGATATCAGAAATGAGGTCTGCAATTGCTCCAAAATTTTTATAATTTCAAAGTATCATTTCCACTTTTGGATATTTAGTTTAAAAAATCATCATCTTCTACTAGCCCAAATAATAGCATTCCACAGATCACATATTAACATTACTAATGTCAAGCTAACACATGAAATACCATTAGTATTCCAATCTCCATACTTAATTAATTATATCCTAATAATTTTTGCCCCAGGAGTGCTAAAACTATTTATTCTGTTGGAAAGGCTGCTGTAGTTACTTATGCCATGCTTGCACAGATGAAGCTAATAAGGAGAACAGGAATGTTTGAATACTGATAATAAAAAGCATCACCACAATGGAGGGGGGGACATCACCACTGCCTGGTTAGGAAGCATATATTCTTCTGCTTTCTATACCACAATTGTTTTAAAAAATAAATTGTTACACTTAAGCTAAACATACCACGACTATTTATTCAAAAGAAGTGCTTTGGAATTCATGCATGCATAGTACCTCTTGGCTATCCATTAAAGCAGTTCTTTTTCAGTTTCCTGTGCCTCTGAATAATTTTCAAGGCATGCAAAGCCTTACAAAATAAATAGAACAACAACAAAAACACTAAAATTGTTAAATAGGGGGGTAGGGAAGAATCAGTCAGGGAGTTTAACGATTAGTAAATAGTATATGGCTGTCAAAATCCGGACTTTGCAAAGAGTTTCAAATCATTTAACTTTTAATCAGCTGTCTGGAGCATTAATACAATTGCCTCATTTGTCAGTAAGTGACACATTATTTACTTATTTAAACCATTATATGGCCGCCCAGGTTATCCAAAATTACTCTGCACAAAACATTCAACAAAACCTAACAAAAGGAATACAAAATAGCAGTAGTACTTAAGACTTATACACTGCCCCATTGTGTTTTACAGCACTTTCTTAGTGGTTTACAGAGTCAGCATATTGCACCCAATAATTTGGGTCCTCATTTTACTGATCTCAGAAGCCTAAGTCAACCTTAAGCTGGTCAGGATCAAACTCCTGGTTATGGGCAGAGTTAGCCTGCAATACTGCATTCTAACCACTGCGCTAAACAATAAAACAGCAGAGTCCAGCATACCAAAAACCAAGGAAAGGATCATCTCTTAATAGCCTTTCCAAAGGTCAGCATTTACTGGATGGTTTATAAGTATGAGATTACCATCCAGTTTAGCCTCTGAAAGAGTGACATTATTAGATCCATCATAGATTGGTATTGCTCGAAGGAACTACCGTGTTTCCCCGAAAATATATTTTTTTTGCCTCCAAAAGAGGCACTGGGTCTTATTTTCGGGGGATGTCTTACCCGCTTACCCCAGGACCGCCATAGCCAGGCCTGCCACACCCTGACACCTGTTGCGCCATCACCTGACTTCTTCCTCATGGCGTGCTGTGCTGGTACTGCTGCTCGCATGGCATGCTGCACTGGTGCCGTTGCTGCACCAGCACGTGCCATGTGATGTCCTGCCACAAGTGGCAGCACCGGCAAAACATGCCATGTGGCCTCCTGGCACAAGTGGCAGCACCGGTGCGACGTGCCATGTGGCCATCTGCCATGAGCTGCTACCAGCAACCAGAAGTGGGCCAGTAGCCACATAGGCTCTAATGGATGGGGCTGTTGCTGCCATAAGACAAAGCAGGTGTCGGGGCCTGGGAGGCCTGGCTGTGGGGGCCCTGAGGTAAATGGGTGTGGAGCACATGGGGCAGTTCCAGCCCCCACCCCAGCTTCATTTTTACATGTGTGCCTCGCCTCACCTTGTACAACTAGACCAGGGGTAGGCAACCAAAACACTCAAAGAGCCACTTGGACCTGTTTTCCACCGAAAACAAAACACTGGGAGCCATAAAACCCTTTTGATATCTAAAATG